CCCGTCCCCTGCCCACTGGCCTGCCACCAGCTGGCTCCCGGCAGGGTCTCACTGCCTCTCCCCCTTGCCCCTCCATTTCCAAGGAGATGCCATCCCCAGCGGAGGGGACACCCAACATCAGCGTCACCCGTCCCCTCTCCCCCTAGGAGGGTTCCTCTGCCTGACGACGAGGAGCAACCCCTCGAACCTGCGGTACAAGGCGGAGCTGGAGGCAGCGCTGGAGAGGCTGGAGAGGCAGGGAGCCTGGCAGAAGGTGCTGGCCCAGGAGGTGGAGCGCTGGGAGAGGGCCACCTCCGAGGAGGAGAGCACCCAGGGCACCGACTACATCTCCGGCGTCATCTATGTCTATCGGAAATGCCCCATCCCCACCCTCGAGGAGGGCTGAGGGCTGACGCAGCTCTGGAGGGAGAGGGTGGGCCCTTGGCCCCTTGTGCAACCCAGCCCAGGGACCCTCTCCCAGACCAGGGCAGCTTCTGGAGGGTGACAATGTTTTTGGGGAGTGTCCCTGTTCCTTTCTCTGGCCCTTTCCCCCCAAGGTCTGGGACCTGGGGACCTTGCCTGCTCCTCAGCATGGGGAGGGTCTCCTGGTTTCACCGGGGTCTCCTGGGCACTGCCATTAGCTCTGACATTCAGGTTACAGTCCCCAACACCTCGGCCTTCACCGTGACATCTCACAGACCCACCTGGCTGTTCAGAGCCATCTCCTGTCCAGGATGTCTTCTCCCCCACCATGCCCGCCTCTTAGCCCTCGTGGTCAAAATATGGAACTTTCTTCATCTTCCCCACCCCAGTCCCCCACGTTTTCCCACAGTTTTTACTAGGGGACTGTTGGAGGTGGGTCCCCCTTGCCACATCCTGTGGTCCCCCGTCCTCATCATCCCCAGGAGTTAAGCCAGCGCACCCTGAGGTGCAGGAGACCTCCCCATCCCAACCAGGAGCAGCTGTGCCAAGGTGACACCCAGCCAGAGAAGCTTTCCAAGCACCTCATCGGCCTTTCATCCCGCAACAGCTGCTTATGTCTCTCATTTTCCTACACCTTTGTAGTTAATGGTCTGGGTGGGAAATGAGGCTGGAAGGGACTTCAGGAGCCAGTGGCTGCTCCCCACCCAGCATTGCCCAGCCTGTTCCCCAAGACCCTTGCCGTGCTGCCTCCACCCTCCTCCTCCACCCCTCCTCCTCCACTCCTCCCTTGGGAAGTTTTTTACCCAAATCTCTTGCTGGGATATTTCTTTTTTCCCTTTTCTCTTCCTCCAGACCTGTTCCTGCTCCTCTCGTTCCCATGGCCCTGGGGAACAGGTTACTTCCTCCTGGGAGCTCTTCCCTGGCAGGAGGCGGTGGCTGCCTTTCCCTGTCCCCCCACCTGGGGCATCCCTCATCTGCTACACTTGCCTTCCTCCCCTATGTCACCCCTCTGCACTGCCCCCCCCTCCACCCGGTCTTGGGGTCCCTGCGCCCATCGTGGGTATCTGCCTTGCTCCCCTCTCCCTCCATTTGTCCCCAGCACGGTCCCCTCCGCAGCTGGGGGGTTATTGCTGTCCCCATCCCTGCACTTGGCTGTTGAATAAACACCCTGCCTGTCTGCCTGCCATGCATTGTTCCGGGAGCAGTGAGGCTGCAGATCCTCTGGGGTGGACGGCCAGGAGCTGGGGAAAGGGGATTTGGCCTTTGTCTGGGGTCCCCTCCCAGTCCCAGAGGGCTCAAAGGGCCAAGCTCTGTGAGCCTGGTGTCCCCCCCATGGCCCTCTTGGCTCTCAGCTGCCTCTCCTTGCCTCAGTTTACCTGCTGGGGGATATGCAGGGAGCACCCTGGCTGGCTACTGCCACATCTTCATGAGGAGCGACGTGCCAGGCACTGGCACAGCACCCCCCGAGCTGGCAGGGCGCGACACCCATAGGACGTGTCACCGTCCTCCTCCCCCCACCATGCAGCTTTGAAATGAGCCCAGGCAGCCTCGGCGGCACCAAGAGGTTTATAACCCATCATGAGCACAGCTCCCGGGGACGGGCACACGTGGAAGGATCATGCCAGGGTGCAGCCAGGGTGGGGAAGGGCAGGAGGAGGCAGTATGTGGACAAGGGGGGGGTGTGGCATGGGGGCAGGATGGGGATGGTGGTGCTCTCCCTTGGGCTGACGCCCGGGCACGGTGGCTCACACGTAGTCTTTCATGGGGTAGCACATTGGGCTGCTGGTTTTCACTGCTCTGTACTTCTGAGGGTAGGGGTCCTGCTGGGCCGGGGGTCCTGAGCAGCACAGGATGCCCCCGCCGAAGAGCAGGAGGGCACTGGAGGCCCAGCCAATGTAGAGGGCAGCCCCCAGCTCTCTCTTGAGGGCCTCGGGCACCATGGGGTTGTAGAAGTTGTTGACGATGGTATTAGCAGACCACGAGACGGGGATGAGCAGCATGATGCCGGCCAGGATGAAGATGGCACCTGCCACGGTGGAGATCCTGGACTTGGTGCTCTTGTCATCCACGCAGCGGGTGCAGTCTGCCCCCGAGAGGGCAGTGAGGCAGGCGAAGAAGGCCACGAAGATGGAGGTGACCACCAAGGCACGAGCCGCTTGCAGGTCGGAGGCGAGGTCCAGCATGGAGTCGTAGACCTTGCACTGCATCTGCCCCGTGCTCTCGTACACGCAGTTCATCCACAGCCCTTCCCAGAAGACCTGGGCCACCACGATGTTGGAGCCGATGAAGGCTGTCACCTTCCACGTGGGCAGCGCACAGGTGAGGATGGAGCCCAGCCAGCCCAGCACGGCCAGTATGAGCCCACCCAGCTGCATCGTCATCGTCGCCATCCGCAGCACCTGCGGGGACAGGACACAGCGGTCACAGACACGGCCCCGGAGCCGGGCGGGCTTGCTGAAGAGCGTGGCCTTCATGCTGGGCGCACCCTGTTCCCCATCGGGGTGGGAAGGGCTGCAGACCAGCACAGGGACGCGTGTGCGCAGGGCATTGCTGCAGGACAGCGTGGGGGACGCGTGTGGCACTGAGCACCCAGGTCCTGAGGAGGCCAAGGCACAGGATCCCCTGTGGGTCGTTTCCTCCCTGTGGGTCGTGTTTCTCCCCGCCCCGTAACATCCCCACGGCACAGGGCGGTCCTCTGCCATCGCCCCATCCCAGCTGGGCAGAGGGAGGGGATGGCTTTCGGGACCAGGATGAGGGGCTCGCTGTGCCCATCCCAGCACCGCTCCAAAGCGCAGACCCCCACCCCATGCTCACCCCATGGCTGCCACACACCCCCCCCCACCCGCACCCCACCCACGCC